CCCCCCCCCCCCCCCCATAAATGTGTACGTTTCGTTTGGAGTCACACCCGGGAGAACCACCCTCCTTGCAGGATTACTCATCTTCTACAAATATACTGTAATTTTTTTAGAAGTATAGGAACTGTGAATTGTGCTTACTATTAAACGGGAGAGTTATCTCTTCCACAACGTGGGATAAACATGTAGACATAGCCTCCTATGTACACGATGGGCTCGACATTTTTCGTACCTGCCTCACACCTTCGAACGCTAGACTAGCATTGTCACCGTTATTAAGCCGAACTTCACGAGTCGCACCCTAGCCCCCCTCGTGAATCGTCTTTCTCGTTTCTCTTACATAGCTCTTCTTGTCCTTCCTCTCCCTCTTCTGTTTCTTCTTCGAAGGTGTCGTCGTTGTCCGACCGTGCAAACGAAGCGGTGCGCACCGCCCTCCTCATCACGCACGACGTCATACAAACGCTGGCGGACGAGATACGGACCGAGGCCCTCGACGCCCTGTTCGCGGTGAGCACGGGGAGAGTATGTGTGGGGAAGTGAAGTTTTTTAGCCTGTTGGTAGATTGACGGTGGTGAGTGAGTTCTCTGGGGGCAGTCGAGCCGGTGTGGGAAGGTGTGTGGGAAGGTATGTCTACAGCATCTCCTCCCTGCGAACGTTTTTTGAGTGTGTTGTTCTGATTGGCTGGTTTTATCGCCGCCGTTCGAACTAGAGCTGTTCGCCTCAGTGGCTCCCGGAGGGTCGGGATGAGGTGTTGATGAGCGGCGGTGTTCGTGGTGATTGGAGTTGTCAGCCTTGTCCCAGGAATACCGACACATCCATTGGTCATGGCTAAGAGAAGCATCTGGTCGTGATTCAGCGACTAAAAATACATCTTGTCAATCCTACTTCACGTGTGGTGGCTCCCCGCTTTCACGGAAAGGCCTGTGACTTTCCGTACATTAACAGCTTTTGTCTGCTGTGCATGTTGGCATAGAACGTGTGCCGGAATTTTCGTCCCTGGTGCGAGTGCAACAGAACCGATGAGGGAGGGTATCGACTCTTCCTCTTGCCGTGGGCATCTCCGTACCCCTGCCCCCCTCCCGCGCGCCGATCTAGATACACTAGCCTTTCTTTATTTGGTTCTCGAACCCAGCAAAGCAACCGTTCAATTGATCGATCACTTGTTCAATTGATCGATCACTCAATCAACGTCGTATCGGTACAATCACGTAGCCGCACCCGCCTTGCGTTTCTCTTGGCACTGGTGGCACCGACCATTCGTATCGACCGGCCGTTTCTCGTGGCGCTGTCGGCCAATCTAATCTAATCGGTCGTTTCGTGGCGCTGGTGGCGTTGACCAATCATCGACTCCCCGAACCAGGTCACGGAGTCGGTGGCGCTTCTCGACATGATCTTTGGCTTCGCCGACCTCGTGACGCTGAGCCCGCTGGCGTTCTGCCGGCCAGAGGTGACCGCCGACGGCCCCATGTCCATCCGAGGCGGACGCCACCCCATCGTCGGAGCCGTGCAGGAAGACTGGAAGTTCGTCCCCAACGACACCTACATGAGGCGAGGAGGGATGACGGACGATGCATACTGATCCGCTTTTCTTCCGTTTCGCGTTCGTGCGAACCATGTCCGAAATTTCTGCGTACGACACAGAACAAAAACACACCAGTGTTGATGAAGGAATGAAGCCCACTATGTTGCCATCATTATACGTGTAACGTGAAAAGTTGCTCTTTGGAGTGGTGCCTGAAGTAGTTCGCCGGGCCCTTGGGATGTGGGTACGGCACGACACGCATTCGTACTGCCGTAGCATGTTGATTTTTATTGATGGGCTCTCTTCTTGACAAAGGCTCTGTGGATAACGTTGGAAAATTGCTTCTAGGAGTTACCCCCCCTTCGCACCCCACCCACTCCCTGTAGGCGCGCTAAAGTCTCGCTCAGCGCCCCCCTCGGCAAGTCCATGCGCGTGATTGTGCGTCACCTCCATATCCGGTGCGCGTTTTTCGCGTTGCCGGCATCGTCGTTGCTGCTGCCGTCTTTCTCATTTTTCAGCCCCTTCATCAACTTCCGGGTGGTAACGGGGCCGAACAACAGCGGCAAGTCTACGTACCTCAAGCAAGCAGGTCGGTGTTCGCTCCGTGTTCCGTCGTGGTTCACCATTGGCTCCCATTTTTCTGTTCTTTCTGTCGTTTTGATCTCGGGGAAGTGCCCTTACACCTTCCCCTTCTTGGGCATGGCCATGAGGTCGCGCGTGTACTAAGTAAAAACAAAAAATTCGGAGATGCCCGGAGGGTCTGCAATGTGGTCATGTACTAGGTGTCGAGCACGAAATCATATGTCAAAGCAGATCCAGAAGGATTTTTCTAAGTTGGGGCAGAGCGAGAGGCAAGAGTTTCTCGACAGGGACGAGGGCCGTGCGAGAAACTAGTGCACCTTTGGATGCCTGGTTTTGAGCGAGAAACAGCCCGCTTGGGAAGTGATTGCCGTTCTTAGTGTGTGTTAGGTGCTTCACTGCTGTTCTAGGGTTTGTCGTGCAACCGTTCGCTTATGGAGGGTTTGTCGCGCAACCGTTCGCTTATGGGTCAATAGTGAGGTTGGTTCGCTACGAGATTCAACAAAATCAGAAGTCTCGGCAGTGACGCCCTCTTCTAGGGTACCCCCCCGCCGCCCCGTACACTTGAACACAAGAGTTCACGGTACACACGTGAACGAAGCACTCGTTCCTAAGAGTCGTTTCTCTGTTCGTCCCACCCCGAAGTCGTCGTCATCCTCTCGCGAAGAAACGGGTTAAAGCTCACGGGTTGATCTCAAACTCTACACACGCGCACCGCGCACTCATGAAACCCTCGGTCTTTCGTGCCTCTGTGTGTTGTTCGTCTCCGCCGCGCACCCCCCCCCCACCTGACCCGCAGGGCTGATAGTGCTGATGGCGCAGATGGGCTGCTACGTGCCCGCAGAGATGGCCGTCATCCCCGTGCGCACGAGCCTCCTCTCTCGCATCGGCACGGGCGACGACTTGGAGAACAACGTGTCGACTTTTCTCATGGAGATGCGCGAGATCGCTCAGGTGCGTTGCCGTCGGCAACCCTCCCTCCTCGTAGCGCTTGCCGCGCGTCGCGTGTGTATGGGCCGCGACGACGAGGGAGGGTGGTGGATAGGTGTATTCACGCCTTCCAGGGGTCGTGCAGCTGTGACACCCTCGCACCCGGGAGCTGTGGCTTTGTATCCGAGAGTGCAGCACATATAGCACGTGCTTCCTGAAATCCTCTGCGCATTCGACGGCTGCTTGGATAGGTGGCGTTTCGACGAATTCTTGCTCCTCGTAACCTTCACGCATACATCTGTACGTTTCCGAGATCTCGACACGCCCTGCTTCTCCCGCAAGAGTCTATCAAAGCAAAGGTCAGAGGCGTGCCTACTACACGGCGTATCCCTCGCTTGCACCCCCCCCCCCCCTTTACCTCGCATGGACGTAAGACATACCACACTGTTCGTGGGGTCGTTGGCATCCATGGCGTCGATACTGCTTTACGTGCTTAGCATCAGCCCAGTCCGGAGCGTCTTGACAAACTGCTTTGTCTTTTTTCGTGCGCGCCGTACTCATTAATATCAGGTGCTGGAGAGAGTCACGAGCAGGTCGTTGGTGAGTGTTGCCGACGTCGGCGCGGCACCATTGGTGCGGCCAGTTCTCAGAGGGGGGGGGGCGTCAGGGGGGGAATTTGCGGTAGGAAGGTTTGTCAGTCACCTTCCTCGTAGTGGCTGGGCTCTGCAGACTTGCAAGGGTTCGCTGTCGTTTCGCCATTTGAGCATCGGTCATTCCTGGCTCGATCACTTTTATCCTGACGCGCGCATCATATGTCGACGTGTAGAAGCACGGGTGGGTGTGTAAGGCGGAAATACGGCATCCGAGTTGATCGGCCGGCCTCGGGGCCTGTTATTCTTGGATCCGCCCGCTGAAGCGGCGTCTAGTCGTGGTGCCCTCGCTGCGTTGTGCGACTTGCGCCTGGCCGACCCACAGCTCTACAGAAAAAACGACCGTCTACAAAGCTCTTTGGGTATTCCTGTAGAGGTGGTAATCGATCACAACTCTGCAATAAAGTTGGGGGGGTGTCTACGATCGGCTTTGAATCAATTGGGAGATGATGACCAAACATGACGATAAAAAAAATCTCTTCTGCGACCGTCGTTGATTGGGTCAGGTGATGATCGACGAGCTCGGCCGGGGAACGTCGAACCGAGAGGGCCTGGCGGTGGCTTGGGCCGTGGCAGAGAAGCTTCTCTCTTCTTCTGCTTACACACTGTTCGTCACGCACTACTCCCAGATGCCCGGCCTGGCCGACCTCTACCCCAACGTCGAGAACATGTAAGGAAGAGGGGGTGGGGGGGCGGGTGGGGGTAGAAGCGTCCAGATTTTGTGAGGAGTTAACAAAAATGCCTCGTTCCTTCATTTTCCAACATGTTGGAGGCGTTTGGAAGGATATACCGAGGAGGCGTTTCAATAAGAGGGGGACTGTCCTCCCTCTGCTGTCTCCACAGCTCGTGGCAAAGGCAAGGCAGGGAGATAATGCGCTGACTCATAAACCACTAAATGTTTTGCGACGACACGCCCATCCACGCTCACACCCGCCCCTGCCCCCCCCCCCCCTCCCCCCCGACGCCACGTCGCTCTCCCGTGTAATCTGCGACCGACAAAATCTCCAACGCACGCAACACGGCTAACAACAACGTCGGTGACAAAACGGCATGCGAAAGTCACCTGCAGACAGCCCTTGCACCGGCAGCGGCGGCGGCGGGGGCGACCGGGGGGGCGGGCGGGCAGACCGGCGCGTTGCGGTATCTTCACAAGGCGTTGGATGGACGGTGCGACCCCGGCGACGGATACGGTATCCGGACGGCGGAGATGTGCGGTCTCCCTTGGGAGATCGTGGAGGAGGCGCGGGTCCTGCGAACGCAGTGAGTGTTTCTCATTTGTGTTTCAAAACAAATCAGTTTCCCTATTTCTGTCTTCTGGCATGGTTTTGTTGTGTTGTTTGTGTTAGCACAGACGTAAACTCTATGTGGAACACCAAGGCGAGGTGCACGTTCTGCTGAACGCTCACTTCTGTGTGTGCGGAGGGAGTGCATGAAACAAAGTCTGGGAAGTGTACGCTGGTGCTTTCTAGTGTTTCCAGCATAAACATGCCCCCGCCTGTCCCCCCACCGGCCGTGTATGCAGATAATTACAATCAGCCGCTCGTCCCCCCGTGGTGCGTTCCTGCTACTCCTGTGTAGAGTCATTGATGCCACCAAGGCCAAGGAGATCAAGGGCAGCGCCGGAGCCCCCTCGGAAGCCGAAAAGGACGCCTACGAGCTGCTTAGGACCCTGGTGAGAGCAAGGCAGCCAAGCTGTTGGTCAAACGGGTCGGCCCCCACGGTTTTACTTCCTTCCGCTGTGTGTGCCTCGTGTGCGTTGTCTCTCAAATGCTACTGAGCATCGACCGCGAATACCGGCTGACAGGAATCATCCATAATCTATGCGGTTCATAAAACAGCCTCTGACCCTGTGCGCTGCATAAAAGCTTTATGGTGTTTATCGTGCCAACAGTTAACTACCTCCTTGTCAGCCCAGCCTCGTTTGCACGCGTAACCTGCCCCGCCCCCCCCCCGCGAGCACGCCCATGGGTGTTCCCTCTCGACCCGTCGCCATAGGCCACGCTCAAAGGCTCTACCATGGACCCAATCGCCCTGCGCGAGTTCCTCCACGTGCTGTCCCTCGAGTACGGCAAGGGCCCGAAGGGCGCGAGAATTCTAGCCTCCCTACCCCCCTCGACAACCACCCACGGTACCGACGCCGCCCGCGCGAAGCCCCCCGATGATCCCGATGATGACAATGATCCCGATGATGACAATGCCCGTGGTGGCCCAAGCAAGACCGCGTCGTCGAAAGGCGGCGGCGTCGAGACGCTACCCCTGTCGGCAACAGCGGCGGCGTCCACTGCCGGGACACCGGGCGGTGTTGGTGCAGCAGGTGATGGAGGTTCGGCGGAGTACGAACTCAACAACAGCAGCGGCAGCGACAGAAGGAGCAGCGACATGGATGTCATCGCCCGACCAACACCAAATGGCGACGCGTGTGTCTGACACACACGGGCGGGCGTGTGGTGTACAGCATACAAGGAATAGTAGATGACGACGGCGTGAAAGCTGTAGGGAAGGGGGCTCAGTGATTGGGGCATCCATGCGTCCACCCCTCATGTGCCGGGACAGAAGAGGGCGATCTCCAGCCCCGTTTGAGCAATGACCAGAGCCCAAGACCCTTCCTACATCTGTCCGGGACATTTGTGTTCTTGAGGTAGCCGAGGATGTTTTTGTATCAAATTGTACCTGTGGCGTTTAGAGACTTTGTCATGTGATTTAGTGTTTGTCGTTCTCGTCCAGTCGATCTTCCTCTTCCTCCTACCGCTGCGCCCGAAATTTCAGTATCATGAGTTGATGGACGGCTGGTCCTGTTTACTTGCCTACATACACTACAGGTAGTGGTAGCGGTATTAGCGTTGGATGTATGCTATTATTGAGAAGAGCGTCCTCAGTGGATTGCGTAGATGGTTGCCTCATTTTCATTTTGTGGCTTCAGAAAAAGCGGGAATAAAAGCTGAAAGCCCCTTTACAGAGTAGATGGCGTACACTCCTTGCCCGAAAAACAAACATATCGGGGAATAGCTCATGACCGAAGAGATGGGGGGCCGAGCTCGTGGATGGATAGGTCGAGCGAACGGAAAAAGAGGTCGTCAATAGCGAACGTTGTGCGGGGACTGAAGGCGTGCAAAGTCGTGTGCAAGATACAGATGTCGCGTGATTTAGGTGCGACTTTCGTGATTGAAAGTCTACAGTTACAAGGTCTTGATGTTCTCTCAGACATCGTAACACCTATACCGTACACACGACCGGCACGCAACACGGGGTACGTGATAGGAAAGAAAACATTTACCATCTACGGTTTACATTTCCAAGTACCTAAAGTCAATCCAACTATTACACGATCGTGCACCGCAGAGCAGAGAGCAGTCATCAGACAGCTCGATCTGCCTCGATTTCGGCACCGGTGGTGTCGATCAGCACGAGAAACAAACATCAGGCAATTCCTGTCGAAATTTGGCATTTTCTTTTTCAAGAGGGTGGTGGGAAGAACCCACCGGATGTTGTTTTTTCGTGAACTCCGAGTTCGAAGCCACTTTGTATTTTTTTTTCTTTTGTCGGGTGCTCCATCACAAGCAGCACAAGACGTGTGCTGCAAGCATGCGGCCTGCAACACTGTCTGCTTATACATACGAGAAAAAATTATCCTCCATACAGCACACGGTACCACAAAGACAAGACACCGTGGTGTCACCCAAACTACACGACGCAGGCCGACATGAAGACAAAGACACCCACGTACGCCCTGAGGCTAAGCCCAGCGTTGGCAACGCTTCTGTGACTACACTAACTCTTCTTCCGTGTACCCCCCTCCGCCTGCCACGCCACTGCTACTGTTGAAAGTGGCTTCGGCGACACACACGCACGCTCCAACAAAACCGCGAAACGCAAACACGGAGGAACGACTAATAGCTACGGACGGCTCTGAGGTGGTTACCGTCACTCACCAAACCGCCAGACACCAACACCGCTAACCGAAAAACGAAAGAAGTTGTCCTTTCCGCCACTCTTGGCCACGCGGCTCACCCCGCTACAACCTCAGAGGTCATTCACGTCTACCGCAGTTAGTTGCCAACGTCCAGCAAACTACACGTAGCACAGCCGTACGTCAGGGGGCAGAAATCTCCACTAACAACTGGTCGCGCGCACACACAATGCAAAACTCTTCAAACACACATTATGTACTACACTGCGGCTGCATGAGCGCAGAGGCCTTCTAGAACGTACCGTACCAAGCACAGGTGTATATCGTACCGTAAGGTGCACGTCCTTTGTCCCTCGTATCTGTTTTTCCGAGGGAGGCTTCTGCCCAATTGCAACAACCCAAATTCAAAGCACGCCAAAACAAATCAGGCGAAACACTACCGTCTCTCGTTGTCCCTCATATCAGTTTTTCCGAGGGAGGCTTCTGCCCAATTGCAACAAACCAAATTCAAAGCACGCCAAAGCAAATCAGGCCAAACACGAACGTCTCTCGTTGTTCCGCCGAAGAACTGCTTTCTACTCCACGTCAATGCTACTGCCTCGTCGTAGCTTTCTGTTCAGCAGCAACATATCGTTCAACCAGCCGTAGATCACGGTGCTTGTTCTTCTCAGTAGGCCTGCATCGGCACCATCGGCGGGAAAGGGGGGCTCTCGTGACAGGGGTGAACGTGGCCAGGGCCCGCCGCCATACTTCCGTGCTGCTGCAGGTGGTGCTGGTGGTGCTGGTGGTGCTGATGGTGCTGATGGTGCTGCTGCCGGGGGTGGAAGTCGTCACCGAAGTCCTCGCACCGCATTCCGCCCCCCATGCCGGGCGGGCCGGGGGGCGGGCCGTGCAGTCGCTGGTGTAGACCGACGGGGCTGCGGTATGGGTGCCGTCCTGCCCTGAGCGGAAAGGGGCCATGGTCCATGTCTATACCGGCGGCGTCTCCGTCGCTGTCCAGGAGGTGCATGCCGTGGTGGTGTTCCGTGTGGCGACGAGGGTGGGCGTGGTGACCTGGGCCCATGTGCATTCCAGCACCTCGCTCTCCTTCACTCCCGCTGCTGTGTACGCCCTCGCCGTGGAAGCTGCGACCTCCGTAGATTGGGTGCATTTGGCGGTCGTGCATGGGCATCCCGTGGGGACGAGGGCCGCCTTGTTTTCCGCGTAGGTGCTGGGGGGGATGCTTTCCGCGGGAAGGGCCACGCGGCCCGGCTTGCATAATCGTCGTTTCTTCTCCGTCGGTCTCTCCGCGGCCGGGGTGGTGGTGGCCGGGTCCGTGGTGGGGGTGCATTTGGCGGTCGTGCATGGGCATCCCGTGGGGACGAGGACCGCCGTGATGTTCGCGTAGGTGCGGAGGGGGGTGCATTCCATGGGGAGGGCCACGCGGCCCGGCTTGTATCATCGCCATTTCTTCTTCTCCTTCTTCGCTCTCGCCGCCGTGGTGGTGGTGGTGGTGGTGACCAGGTCCGTGGTGGGGGTGCATTTGGCGGTCGTGCATGGGCATCCCGTGGGGACGAGGACCGCCGTGTTGTTCGCGTAGGTGCGGAGGGGGGTGCATTCCATGGGGAGGGACACGCGGCCCGGCTTGCATCATCGCCATTTCCTCTTCTCCTTCTTCGCTCTCGCCGCCGTGGTGGTGGTGGCCGGGTCCGTGGTGCAGATGCAGTCCCCGGTATTCTTCGAACTGTCCGCGGGGCGGTCCGTGGGTAGGGCTTGACGAGCGGCGGTGATCACCGTGGGCAGGACGCCTACCGTGGCCGTAGCCGTGGCCATGGCGGTGCGGCGGAGGGCCATGCGGAGGGGGGGCGCGAGGCCTACCCATGCCTCCACCGCCGCGGTGGTGGTGGTGGCCACGACCTCCAAGGCGACCGGGCTGTTGGTGAGAAGGACCACCCCGCCTGCCTCCAGGCCTGGACCGCCGAAGTTCTTCCCACTGAACGAGCCCGAGCTTGACTAGGCGGTGAGGGCGTAAGCCGAGCGCACGGAGCAACGGCCTGGCTTCACGGGGCCGGAGCTGGACGCCTGCGGCGACAAAGACCGCGTGGATGGGGTGCTTGCTGGCTCCGGCCTCGATGCCGATGCTGTCCTGGGTGGCGATGTTGTCGTGCTCGGTGTCGCTGCCGTCGCTGCTGTTGCTGTTCGAGTCGTCCGAGACCTGGTTGTCCGCTTGCTCTGGCTCGACTTCGGATCCACTGCTGGTGGTGCTGCTGCTGTCGGTGTTGTCCGCGTCAGCGTCGTCAGCTGCTTTTTTGCCCTCGAGGAGATGCTTTGGGGCAAGTCCCTGCGCCACGAGGCGGCCGGGGCGGAGCTGAAGCAGGACCATGGTCTTCTCCAGGCCGCCCGCTGTCATGGAGGGGACACCGTGGTACTCGCGAAGGTTCCTCGCCGCAGCCTTGCACAGCAGAGGGTTCGGCTCTCCAGCATGCTTGCAGCTGGACTTGTTCGTCACGCACTCTGTCATGCTGATGTTGTTGTTTTTGCTGTTCGTGTTCTCCGTCGCCTTGCTGTTCATGGTGCTGGTGTTGGTGTTGCTGTTGTTCTTGACGCTATTCCTAATTGTGTGAGGAGGTGGGGGCGAGAGAGGGCAAGGGCGAGTGGCAGAGGCGGCGTAACCTCTTCTAGAAGAAAGATGAGAAGATCGCCGCTCCGCAGGTTCTTTGGGAGGCTGGGAACCGTTCTTGGTTCTTCGGGAACGTTTTTCGAACTTCTTTTTCCGCGCTCTTCGGTTCCCGCTTGTTTCTCGAACTTTTCACCCGCTTCTGGTCATTTTGACCATGCTGCTGCAACCCAACGAATCCATCGCAAATCGTTGCTGATTTGTCCACGGCAGTGTGGATAGTGTAGATGGTCTTCGCGAGACAAAGTGTATTGCGTCTTGTACATGCAGATAAAGAAAAACACAACCTAGAGTCACCTGGTACTTCTACTGAAATGTACAAATGACACCTCGGACACACAGGTGGGGGCGTCCCCTGCGCTGTAGATTTCGCCCCCCCCCCCGTGCATCCGATACAGCAGTCCATAACAGGGCGCCTTAAATTACACGAGTGGCCGATCCGGCGCGCCGAAGTCTAACTCTGATCGCCACGATCATCTATCGCAATCTCTTTGACAGAACCAAGAACGCGCCACCGCCCCGTCTCCGTTCGAACCTCCCGCCACTCGCAACGCCAGCCCGCCTACGACCTGGAATTGCTACCATAGTCTATAATACTACTTTCATTTCGAGTTTCAGTGGAGGGAAATGCCACACTGATTCATGGTTTCTCGAGAAGAAGAGAGGGCCCACATTTTGACGTGCTGCACGGGAACAATGTGTAGCACGAGGTCCGGTCTAATCCCAATCTCCGTACACGTATGCATATGGATGCGCGGTATGCGCGCTGCGGCAATCAACTCACGCGTTCGGGGAAATGAGTGGAAACGGCCTCTCAGGCTCTCGGAAACGACCTCTCACTTCTCGTAGACGCACTACACAAACAGGGGGGGCGGTCGCAGGGTGCGACGTCAAAGTGAAAACTACACAACGCTGTCCTGTGCTTGGGTTCGTCAACCAACGCTGCTGTGTTGTCCGCGTAAATCCGCGTCCCAACCGAAACACATCACCTGCGGGGAAAATCTTGGATCTTGGAGATATTTCTGACAGGCTGTTTGCACAACGCGGTGGTGGTGTCCTTCGTTGTTGTTCCGAAAAACAGAGGTTAAACGTTCCCAACGGCAACCTCAAATGGAAACATGTACAATATTCCGTTGCTGCGGTCAGCAATCCGCATGCTTTACCTCGCCCCCCGGCAACACACAACACACCCACCACCTCTCAGCAAACTGACACCACCTACCCCACTCTCAACGTGTCCTCGAGGTCTGCACTTGCTTTCAGAGGTAAGCCATGCATGGTTCAGAGACTCAGCAAGCGGGCTTCCTTTGCAGTATATCTACCATATACGTGTTGATCTTGGGTGTGAATGAGGGATCTTTTTCCCGTAATCCTATCGATCCGGTGTAGGTTATGGGTTGGCGGTACATATAGTCTGTAGTTTGGTCATCCAGGACTTCCATACAGCAAGCAGAGTGCTGTTGTTCGTCTACGCATAGTGAATCGTGTATCGGGTCTACATCATGTTGTGTTGTTTTCATGACATGTATTTTCAGGTGCGCGGAAAGCATGCAACCACCTTCCATACATATTGGTCGAAAATGTCATTTGATAATGCAACGTTGGCGTTCCGTGGGTCGGATGCAGGGAGAAGACGGTTGACTGTTTCGTTGTCATGACACGGTAGCTCAACTGTGAACAGAATCTTGTTTGGTCACCAGCTCCAGTAGGGAACAGAGGAGAGAGCCAGTAGGGAGCAGAGGAGAGAGAGAGAGAGAGGACCGGAACGTTCAAAATCGTTGTTGCGCCAGAATGATTGTTGTTCGTTTATAATAGTAATACTGTAGGTGATTATCTTGGATCCTCTCAGTATGTAGTTTCAACTGTAATACCCACCATGCTCTTCAGAGGATCTTTTGTACGTTTTGCTTTTTCGGTCGCAGTTTGCGAACGGATGGTAAAGTTCGCTTTCGTTCTGACGAACGGGAAGGCTTACGTTGTGTCCAAATCTTCGTGTAACTGCATGCGGGTAGTACTACAATACTACAGTACTATCGTATACTCTTTCTTCGCGAAAAAAACATAGAACACATATTTCCTCTCTGCTCCCTTTCTTGCTGTATCCCCCCAGACAATGTTGAGGATTTCGTCGGTGGTTGTGGTGTTGCTTGCGCTGGCCCACGCCGTCATCGCTTCGAACCTCAGGGCCACAAACGTTGGGGATTCTTCTCCCGCCATCGTCCAACGTGCAACCAGCGCAGCACCGCCGACGAGACAAGCTAGCGTGAGTATGAGCGAGCGCTCCAGCAAGTAGCATCAATACTGCGACCCGGCTGATACTGATGCACTCGCTTCCGAACTGGATAATATCACCACTTACTTCAGTATGAACGCTGACAACTAGCATGTCTCACTATACTGCTGTACATATGTAATAGTCTTCGGCGCTTGTATGCGTTTTGTCACCTCGAAAAGAAAAATGGAATACAATCCCAACGGTCCCGTGCCCCCTGTCGGTCCCTCTCCCATCGCTTTTGGTCTCTACCTGCAGCGCCGCCTGCACTACTCGGATGACTCAAGCAGCGATTCGGAGAGCAACAGCTACAGCCCCCACGAGTTGTACGTCGGTTGCTTCCAAGATGATGAGCAAAGCCCGCTGCTCGAGTTCGGGTTTATTTCCGGGGACTTCACCATTGAGGTGAGAGAGCAAAGTTGTTGTGTCGGGCCCCGACACCTTGCTTGATGCTTGTGATTTTGGTCCTTTCAGTTGTTGATTATTGTGTGGTGGGGAAAATGGCGGATTGAGTGGGTTCCTCCATAAGTCCACAAGTTGGTTGATCGCTCGTGTTAGTCATCTTCTTCGTGGACATACATGATATACCTCCACAGGACCACGCTCGTTGTCTCTTCTCCCGTTCATTGATGATTATGCCGCATGCCCACAAACGCCGTATTGTCACCATCCTTGTTGAATTTTCTCCTACATTGTCCATCCCCGCCCATCCCTTGCCCACGCAAACAGCGTTGCTACATGCACTGCACCGACGAGGGCGCGACTTTCATGGGCATCAAGTATGGCTTCCAATGCTCGTGCGGCTTTGGGCAAGAAGAAGACTACACGCTGAACGGCACCGGAGAATGCGCGTGCGGGTGCTATGGTGACCCCGACGGCAACTGCGGTAAGCCTCGCCCCCCCTCCCGCCCTCCGCCCTCACTTTCCGTCCATATCATGCTTGTAGGGAATATGTCCGATCGAACACGTATGGAGTAGAAGTAGGTTTTTAATCGGTTCCGATTCTCGTGGTTTTGCGTGTCCATTGACGACGTGACCGCCCTTTCATGACGAATGGTGTATACACCGCGGCCGCCGTATGCCGCATCACCGGTACGATGATCCCTCACCGAACGCCGCGCCAGTGTGCATCACCGCCCATGTCCCGTCTAAGAAAAACACCATGGGCTTGTTGTTGTTGTTGTTGTCTTCACATTAAAAACCGTTCCGATCTCTCTCTACCCAGTACCTTCGTATGTCCGTACTGATCCAACACTCGACGCGGTCGATTCCCGTGGTCACAGGTTAACTTATCCTAAAAAGGTACACTCAAATAAACTGGCCCCGAGGGGTCCGCAAGTCAATAGAAATCAACGACAGATATTCTGGAATCCTCCACTTCCTCTGCGCGCTATGCGAGGTATTAACTGAGACTAGGAGTCACTATCTATCATGGGCCAGAGAGAAAGAGGTACACCCCCTTGGTTCAATCTTGGTACTTCACTTACCGTGTATTGGATCAATTGCATCCCCCGTCCCGTGTGCCCGCTCTTCGCGCTACTGCTGTACCGCCGTATCGACACCAGGTGGACAGTGGGCTTTCGACCTGTACTCCCTCGGAGGAGGGGACGACAGCTCCACCTCCGTGACGCCGTCACCAACGGCGTCCTCGACCGGCTTCCCGATGCCTACGGGCTTCCCGATCCTGTCGGCCGCGCCCTCGACATCGTTCACGTGGGGCCCGACGGGGGGACCGTCGTCAGCGCCCACTTCGTCTCCTACTAGCAGCACCATGACCATGACGGACGGTGGGTCTTGGTCCCCACGATCACTCGTTGTTTGTTGTTCACCGGTGCTGATATTTCGACCTGATAGTGCGTGTGTTATGGTTGTTTTGCCGCGCTTTACAACAGTAGCAACTCTTCATTCGTTGATGAAAAAGCCACGCTTCGTGCACCACCTCTCGACGAAGCCCTGTCCCTTTTGTTCGCCGTGCGCGTTTGACTCTTTTTGTCCACGTGTTGGGTACAGACGACGGAGGGTACTCCATGACAGCCCCCCCGACACCTGCGAGGACGCTGCTGACACCGTCGCCAAGCATGCTGGTGGGACCCACCCCGACCATGCCCGTGGCACCCCCTACTCGGATGCCCGCGACTCCTCCTACTCCGATGCCGGTGGAATCTCGTACTCCGACGCCCGTGGCACCGCGAACGCCCGCCCCCGAGACCGAGGAGCCTGTGGCACCCTGTACTCCGATGCCCGTGGAACCTCCTACTCCGATGCCCGTGGCACCGCGAACGCCCGCCCCCGTAACTGAGGAGCCTGTGGCACCTCCTACTCCGATGCCCGTGGCACCGCGAACGCCCGCCCCCGTAACTGAGAAGCCAGTGGCACCCCCTACTCCGATGCCCGTGATGCTTCCTACTCCGATGCCCGTGGCACCGCGAACGCCCGCCCCCGTAACCAAGGAGCCTGTCGCGCCCCCTACCGCGCCGACTCCGGGCTCGCCGACGCCCGCTGACATGACAGAACTCGTTGACCTGCACAACGAAGCAAGGTGAGAACAGAACACAACATGAAGGGGACGGTCTGGTCTCAAAACCACTTGTGTTGTTGTGTGATTTGGAAAGGTTGCACATGCACGTGTGAAGGTATTTCGTTTCATTGCCAGGATGACTCGACTCTTGTCCAAAGATTAATGCGTGCATACATACGTCTTAAGTGCACAGATATCGCCCAGTGATATATCTGCTTGGAAGCTGATCCTTTACCCCGCTTCCCAGCCAGGTATGACAGTGCCACTCTGTCCACTACCTGGCGCTTTTAGGCAACAAGTGCAATAATATTAGTTCTGACGTTTTCCCTTGCTTCCCACCCCGCCACCTCCTATATACGACGTCCAGGTGCGTGCACAACGCGGACCCTCTCACGTGGAGCAGCACGGTGGCATCTTCCGCCGCCGAACACGCCGAGAGGCTCACGGCCCAGTGCTCCTCCAGCCTGTTCCACAGCACTCAGGAACAGCGCTACGGCTACGGCGAGAACCTGTACATGTGCTGGGGGTCGGACTCGTGCTACTCGCACGAGAAGGCGATGGAGGGACTATGTAAGTGTTGTGTTGCGCGCTTGCTAGGCCCTTGTCGCTTGACGATGAGCGGCAGCAGTGAGGAAATATGCAGTAGGCATCCTTTTCACCACACGCGGCGCGCCCTCCTTTTTTTGTGTCGCAGACCTGACAATCCCCCCACGTATGCCCGTATCTCGCCTTCGAAGCTGCTGGGTGCAACGATGAATATCCTGACCCTTCCCTCCCCTCTCTCCTCCCCCCCAACCTGTGCAAACAGACTACGACGAAGTCCAGTTCGACAGTGTTCTCCAGTACGGTGGTCACGCGACCCAGATCCTGTGGAAGGCTACGGAGCAAGTCGGATGCGTCGTGGCGCGGTGCACCAACGGCGGAACCCCCTACACGTTCCTCGTGTGCCAGTACGACCCACCGTAAGTGACGAGGTCGGTGTTTGTTGCCTGTCCCTTGTCGGAGGAATAATGTGTTCTTGAACTATATGAACTATATAGGTCCCACGTGAATATATCTCTCTGCCGTATCGTCTTCAGAACTGTGATGCTTTATAGTACAGGAGAATGGACGGATCGGATTGTACGGGAGCATGTCGCTCCTGTTTTCGCCGGCCGATGGAAAATGCATTACCGACTGGACGGACGTTTTCCGGACGGTCAGCGTCACCTGTTGTCAGCACGTACAGCACCTTTCTTTGCACCTTCCGCGCGATGTGGAACTTGACGGTTTCCCGTCGTTATTCTGTTTGTTCCATCCTCTCTCCCTACGTTATGTTTGACCAGGGGCAACTACGGCGGCCAGTACGAGGAACAGGTGGGCCTTCCTGACTTCGGGAAGTCGTGCTAGACACACCCACTTCCCTGTGTTTCATCCGGACAACTCCTGGCGCCGAGTTGTTATTGACCGTGATGTCGAGCAGTTGATTGGCTGAAGGTCGCCACAAGCCAGCTCGAAACTTTCCTCCGACGACAGTTGTCGACGCTAAATAGACGGGTTGCAGTTGCGGGACCACGACCCGCCTCATTCTAGATTGTAGCGGTACTGCGTGCTGTGCTTGTTACTGCATGTGGAAGCCTTTGGCAGGATTTGTTATTTCTTTGCGCGTGCTCTTGTTTACTTCGTATTTGGTTCATTGGGGTGTCCTCGTAGTTTACGATTGCTTGTTCTGTGTTTTGTGCCGTAATCTGTTTCCGTATGTGTTCCGTCGTTCTAACTCTTATCTTGTTTTCTCGTGCCGACACTCACTTGTTGTACAGACGTCACCATTGTTCTTTGTAGCCAAAGTGTTTCCACTTTCGCGCGTTTTGTTCGCATCTGTTCTTTCGTAGCTATACAAGTGTTTGTCTCCGCGCGTTTTGTTCGCTGCAAGAGATGTTGTTGTCTTGTCATGTCTGGGGGAATTAATGCTTGCCCGGGTGAGAAAGTCGTTCGTTAAAACATTTCTTGGGATACAACTGTAGCCTCATCCTGGGTGGATCGATCGTGATCTATCTGCGGCGTATGGCATGCTTTGGACCAGAACCTCGATTGATTTCAGATTTTCACGTGGCACTCTTGATCTGCTGTGGAGAGGATGTGGTAGAAACTAGACTGGGCTTCCGTCGAGTGGGATATGTTCATGTTGGAATGGACAGATTCATGAAGTGCAGGTGCTGTGTGTCAACAACCCACCTAGTACCGTAGCTCCCGTAGCTCTCTGGGTTAATTAATGGGGATGAACAGTCGTACCAATCCGCGCCTGCGAGGTGACGCTAACCGGAAATATGTGTCAACATCTCGGGAATTGAGTCAGCCACTTCAACAACGACCTGTGTATTTTGTAGCTGTGGCGCGTTTCCAGTAGTTCCGCCTGACTGAGTTGTACCCCTGGTACTGAGTGCCGTTGGCGGTCGCTACTGCGAAGCAGAACACAGATAACAAAGCGTGAGAGCACTCGCGTGCGGTGGTCAAGCGATTTGTTGTGAAGATCACCTATTATTAATATCAGCGCGTCGCATGAATTCCACTACAGCAATAGTGTAAGAATTTTCATGTTCTCTCGGACATCCGAACACCCCAACCGTACACACGACGCGCACGTGTAGACCGGGTACGTGGCATGGTACTATAGAGAGCAACTACATACTATACGACGTTCTACTCGTCGACAGTGTTGATCATGAGTCAATCAATGCAACTCGTACAGAATCTGAATTTTTTCAAGAGTCAATAAAGTACAACTATCGCTTCACACAATCGTGCACGGTAGAGCAGAGAGCAGTCACCAGACAGCTCGATCTGCCTTCATTGCAACACCGTTGGTCTGGTGTCGATCAGCACGATACGCGAACATAATAAGGCAATTCCTTGTCGGAATTATGGCATTTTCTTTTTCAAGAGGGTGATGGGAAGAACCCACCGTTTTTTTTTTTTTGTGGACTCCGAAATCGAAGCCACTGTATTTTGTTTTTTCTTGTCGGGTGCGTCGCCGTCAGCAGCACTCCACAAAGACTACACAGACTCGGTGCTGTCCGCTGCAGCTACACAACGCAGGCAGGAATGAAGACAACGGTACGCACGTTCGCCTTGCCGCGAAGACAAGTGTTGGCAACGCTTCTGTGACTGCACTACTCTTCTTCCGCGTGCACCCTTCCGCCTGCAACGCCACCATTACTACTGTTGAAAGCGGCCTTCGACGACATACAACAACACCGCTTACACAAAAAACAAATGAAAATATCCATTCCGACACTCAACGAGGCTCACCCCGCCACAACCTCTTTCCGTAGGGATGGGACTGCAACACACAAACACCGCAATATATCACCTCGTGGCGAGCACCCCCCTCCTCCTCGGTGCACTCCTATTTTAGCGACGCGACGCTTAAACCAAAAGGAATTCAACAACAGAGACCATTTACGCCTGCTACCTGCGACGACGACACAGTTAGTTGCCACCGTACAGCAAACTACACGGAGGACAGCCATACACGACAGGGGACAGAAATCTCCACACAACGCAAAACTCTTCAAACACACTAAACGTATACACGACGGCTGCATGAGCGCAGAGGCTTTCTAGAACGTACCGTACCACGCACAGGTGTATTGTAAGGTGTACGTCCTTTGTCCCTCGTATCTGTTTTTCCGAGGGAGGCTTCTGCCCAATTGCAAATAAACAACCAAATTCAAAGCACGCCAACATCAGGCGGAACACAACCGTCTCTCGTTGTTCCACGGAAGAACTACTTTCTACTCCAGGTCAATGCTGTTGCCTCGTCGTAGCTTTCTGTCCAGCAGCAACATACCGTTGAACCGTAGATCATGGTGCTTCTTCTTCTCAGTAGGCCTGCATCGGCATCATCGGTGGGGAAGCGGGGCTCTCGTGACAGTGGTACACGCGAGCAGGGCCCGCCCCCATCCTTCCGTGCTGCAGGTCCTGCCGGTGCTGATGGTGCTGCTGCCGGGGGTGGAAGTCAGCACCGAAGTCCTCGCACCGCATTCCGCGCCGCATACCGGGCGGGCCGGGGGGCGGGCCGCGCAGTCGCTGGTGTAGACCGACGGGGCTGCGGTATGGGTGCCGTCCTGCCCTGTGAGGAACGGGGCCATGGTCCATGTCCATTCCGGCGGCGTCTCCGTCGCTGTCCAGGTGGTGCATGCCGTGGTGTTCCGGGTGGCGACGAGGGTGGGCGCGGTGACCTGGGCCCCTGTGCATTCCAGCGCCATGCTCTCCTTCACCCCCGCTGCTGTGTACGCCCTCGCCGTGCAAGCTGCGACCTCCGTGGAAGGGGTGCATTTGGCGGTCGTGCATGGGCATACCGTGGGGACGAGGGCCGCCTTGTTGTCCGCGTAGGTGCGGAGGGGGGTGCATTCCGTGGGGAGGGCCACGCGGCCCGGCATACATAGTCGCCATTTCTTCTTCTCCTTCGCTCTCGCCGCCGTGGTGGTGGTGGTGGTGGTGACCAGGTCCGCGTTGGTGGTGGCCGGGTCCGTGGTGCAGGTGCAGTCCACCGTATTCTTCGAACGGTTCGCGGGGCGGTCCGTGGGTAGGGCTCGACGAGCGGCGGTGATCACCATGGGCAGGACGCCTGCCGTGGCCGTGGCCATGGCGGTGCGGCGGAGGGCCATGCGGAGGGGGGCCGCGAGGCCTACCCATGCCTCTACCGCCGCGGTGGTGGTGGTGGCCACGACCTCCAGGGCGACCGGGATGCTGGTGAGGAAGACCACCCCGAAGCTCTTCGCGCTGAACAAGCCCGAGCTTGACTAGGCGGTGAGGCCCTACGCCGAGCGCACGGAGCAACGGCCTGGTTTCGCGGGGCCGAAGCTGGACGCCTGCAGCAATAAAGACGGCGTGGATGGGGTGCTTGCTGGCTTCGGTCTCGATGCCGGTGCTGTCCTGGGTGGCGATGTTGTCGTGCTCGGTGTCGCTGCCGTCGCTGCTGTTGCTGTTCGAGTCGTCCGAGACCTGGTTGTTGTCCGCTTGCTCTGGCTCGACTTCGGATCCGCTGCTGCTGCTGCTGCTGCTGCTGCTGCTGCTGCTGTCCGCGTCAGCATCAGCGTCGTCAGCTGCTGATTTGCCCTCGAGGAGATGCTTTGGGGCAAGTCCCTGCGCCACCAGGCGGCCGGGGCGGAGCTGAAGCAGGACCATGGTCTTCTCCAGGTTGTCTGCTGTCATGGAGGGGACACCGTGGTAGTCACAAAGGTTCCTCTCTGCAGCCTTGTACAGCAGAGGGTTCGGCTCTCCCGCACGCTTGCAGCTGGGCTTGTTCGTCACGCACTCTGTCATGCTGATTTTGTTATTGTTCGTGTTCTCCGTCACCTTGCTGTTCATGGTGTTGTTGTTGGTGTTGTTGTTCTTGATGCTGTCCATAGTTGTGTGAGGAGGTGGGGGCGAGGGCGAGTGGCAGAGGCGGCGTAACCTCTTCTAGAAGATGAGAAGATCGCCGTTCCGCAGGTTCTTTGGGAGTCTGGGAACCGTTCTTGGTTCTTCGATAACATTTTTCCATTTATTTTTCGAACTTCGATTTTCGCTCCTCTCTGCTTGCTGCTTTTGGATTTTGGAGACGTTCGTCCCGCGGTGAGCTGTCGCGTCCTGGGAGAGGTGCTCACCTCTTTATCTTCGTCTGACAGCCCACACAGCTGAGGCTTGTCGAACACGCCGGAAGTCGAAAAGGAGAGCAGGAATGAATCATGTGATGAGCAACCAACCGAGTTTTTCAAGCATCGCGAGACGAAGATTTATTTGAGAAACTACTTTATTTAGTCTACAGAAAGGGTCCGGAGATGATGAGAAACGTCAAGATCGGGTCGAGGCTCAATTTATTTTTTTGGGCAGAACGATCAGCCGAAGTCGGCCCGATTTCTTAAAACGGATTTCATATTATTCCTTTGGGCTGTCGCATCCTGCTGTGATTATTCTCTTATTTTCTTATTTTTTCATTTTTTCTGGCGAAGAAAACAACACACACACAGACAGGTGGCCAGTGGGCACCGTTGTACGGGGGCGTTGAGTAACCTCCGGCCAACGAGTGGTTATTACATGGGATAACGTAGGGGGGTTACAGGCCGAGCCGGCATAACGTGCCCGGGTTGTGAAAGCGGTCATCATGCGAGGGTGGGTGTGAAGAGGGGGAGGGAGATAAAAAAGGGTCGAGGAAAAAAAAAATGTGTGAAGGTTTTTTTCACCTTTTTTTCTTCTTCCACCCTGCGGTCGGGGTGCGCGAGACTTCGCCCGTCCGTGTCTACTACCGCGCAGAATCTTGTCAAGGAAGAAAACACGAGTAGGGGGGGATTCGAACTGGCGTCTTACTAATATCAGAGTGTACATTCTACCGCTACGCTACGTGTTGTGACATGGCGTGTGCGACATGCGCGTAAATCTCATGAATGTATCATAGTGGGGGGCTGAAAAAATTGTGTGGCACAACACCGCCCACGACGCGGCCGATAAGCGCACACTTTGCCGTCCCCCCCACCCAAAAGCAGAAACTCCGACTATTGTCGTCTTCCATTGCCAATCGTTTAATGGGAA